ATTTCTGTGTTGCGTGTCATGTTTAGAAAATACTTATCTTGTTCAAAAATATTACAAAATCTACCCAAGATTTTTTCTAGTATTACATGGTTTCATTTGCATTTTAATCTTTATACTATCTGTAATTTATTTTGGTATAAGAAGGTAGGGGTACATTTTTGTTTTTTCTTACAAAAGACAGATGTCCCAAATGACATTTATTGAATAATCCACATTCTCCCCACTGATTTGAAATCACTTTTGTCACATGTCACATTTCCATATGTATTTGGGTCTATTTCTGACTTTTTTGTCTGTTTCTTATCTGTCTATTCCCACACCATTACAACATAACTTATTGTACCTTGATAATACGTTTCAAAATCCATTAGAGCTAATTCACCCACATTACTTTTACTTTTCCAGAGATTTCCTGGCTATTCTTTTTTTAAAAACAATCTTTATTGAGATATAAGTTACATACCATACAATTCACCCATTTAAAGTGAACAAATCAATAGATTTTAGTATATTCATAGATATGTGCAACCATCACCACAGTCAATTCTAAACACCTTCACCACCTCAAAAAGAAACCCCATATCCTTTAGCTAGCACCCCCCCATTCCCTCTATCTCCCCTAGCCCTCAGCAACTACTAATCTCATTTCTGTCTCTGTAGGTTTACCTATTCTCAACATTTCATATAAATATAATCATACAATATGTGGTCTTTTGTGACCGGTTTATTCTACTTGGCATAAAGTTTTCAAGATTTATCCATGTTGTGGCATATACCAGTAGTTCCTTACTTTTTATGGCCAAATAATATTCCATTGTATGGATATACCACATTTTGTTTATCTATTTAACAGCTGATGGACATTTGGGATGTTTCCACCTTTCAGCTGTCATGAATAGTGTTGCTATAAGCATTCATATACAAGTTTTTGTTTGAACACATGTTTTCATTTCTTTGGGGTATATACCCAGGAGTGAAATTGCTGGGTCATATGGTAATTTTAACTTATTGAGAAGTCTTCAAACTGTTTTCCACAGCAGCTGCACCATTTTACATTTCTACCAGCAAAGCATAAGAGTTCCAATTTTTTCATGTTCTTGCCAAGACTTGTTATTTTCTGTTGTTTTCGTTTGTTTGTTTGAATTCTAGTGGGTGTGAAGCTATATCTCATTCTGGCTTGATTTGTATTTTCCTGATATTGAGATTATTTTCATGTACCTATTGGCCATTCATATATCTTCTTTGGAGAAATGTCCATTCAAATCCTTTGCCCATTTTTAAATTGAGTCATTTCTTTTTCTATTATTGAGTAGAGAGATTTCTACATTTTCCTGACTATTCTTGTATGTTCATTTTTCTAGTTGAAACTTCATCAAGGATGGCTGGCAACTTTTATGTAGTTTTAAAGCAAAAAACCAATGTTCAGCTTGAATTTATACTATCTAAATTCTGCAGATCAAATTTTCCCTAAAGCATCTCCCCTTTAAATGGACCCCAAAAGGAGAGACCGCATGTATTGTGAAGTTGACTTAAACCCGACTTGTGTCCATGAAGCAGGAATAGGTTTTAGTGCTCTCCTGAAGGCTCGTGTATGTGAGTGCATGCGGGTTGTTAATTACTCTGTGGCCTGATTTACTTTAGTGTAGTGCTGACTTGGAGATCAAGGCTGGAGAAGCCCTTTCCAAGATCAGCATCCCAAGCCAGCCTGAGGTGATTATTACAGCTTGCCAGGGACTCTCATCCCCTCCTGGGTTCAGAACCAAAACCAAACTACACTCACAGCCTGACTCGCAGCTATGGACTGGAGTGATTGCTGGGCTTTGTTAGAGAGGAGTATGGTTTCCCTTATGCTTTAGTCCTCAGGCGGGTTATTGAAAGGGAATTGAGCATTCCTTATGCCAGTTGTTTAATCCTTGGGGTATCTGAAAGAGAAGCAAGCACTTCTTAGATCAATATTTTCAAGGCTCATTTGATGCGAGCCTCTGCCTGGGGCTGGAGGATAGACTGTTTCTCCAGCTTCTCTCCCTCCAGGGTGGATAAGAACTTGAACCCTTGTAATGAACTGCTTGAATATTTCCCCTGGAAAACTTGTGTGTATGTGTGATTAGGATGGGATGGGAGGTAAAGATAGTTTCAAAACTGGACACCTATGGTGCTTGTTCCCTTATAACTGAGTTTCTCAACTTTATTTTATATTATTTTTCATCACCCCCTCCCTCAAGAGTCTTTTTAGACAATTTTCCCCTAATCACCCATCTGCCATGAAATTTTAATATCACAGATATACCATGTATCTATTTATGCAATGTGTGTATGTTTGTGCTTTATACATAAAAAGCAAGTAAGATTTTTGCCCTCTTGGGGGTGATACAGCTCCTATTGAGAATGTATGCTAAATTTTAATATCACAGATATACCATGTATCTATTTATGCAATGTGTGTATGTTTGTGCTTTACACATAAAAAGCAAGTAAGATTTTTGCCCTCTTGGGGGTGATACAGCTCCTATTGAGAATGTATGCTTTATGATCGTTTATAACCAACCTCTGGCAGCTTCCATCACTTAAAAGTGACAAGAAAGCAGTCTAACAGGGGCCATGAGGAACGTGTGAGTTAATGCACATGAAGTGCTTAGCCAAGTGCCTGGGCACAAGTGTGAAAAATGAGAGCCCTTGTTGTCATTAGTATTGTTTTAAACCTGGCCACAGGAACGTCTGTAACCCTCTCCCAGGCTGTGGATTCCCATGGTGATGGAGGGCTGGTTAGAGGTCTAAGTCGTTCCAGCCTAGAGCTCTACCAAAGGCCCACGAGGTACCTAAGGGAGTGAATTGGGCTGGGTGGGGACTGTGGCAAATGGACAGCTCTGGGTCTAGTGGTATCA